AAACCTGGCAAGAACATTTGGGAATAGATATTCAACAACTAAACTCTCAGATTCCGCTTGCCCAGATGACAAAATAGAAAAAGATTTGGCCCTTGGTGATGTTTCTGTACTTGCCGAGGATGAAAGGATGTTGAGTCCAGAGGGGTCTCCTGGCCAGGATGGAAGAGTTTCTGGGGTTCCTGAGGAGCCACTCTCCCCGAGGGACACCTTCTCACCCTTTCCTTCAGAAGGCCTCTCTTCCTGCATCGACACTCAGGGAAGTTCCCACAGAGCCCGGAAACGGACTTCCCGACCCTCCCCCACTTCACACACACAAATCCAAGATAAGCAGGATGGGTGGCTTGAGGTCTGTGAACTTCATTTTTCTTAATACAAAACTAGCCTTTTTCTACGATACTATATTAAAAACACGCCTCTGAACAAGAACAGTAGCAAAAGTTAAGATGCCAGGATGAACTAACTAGAAGCAAATAGAAAGATAAGAACTTTTTTGCACAAAGACTTGCAGAATGAGTGTCTTGGACATTGTCTAAGAATGACAGTGACTCCCTAGGTACTAATGAATTAATACTGTTCCGTGAGATTCCGTCCAGACTTTACATTGCAGAGAAGGGCTTCTTTCCCACTGAGGCCCAGGCCAGATGCCTTCTCAGCGGATGCAACAGGTTCTTCTTAGATTCGCTTCTAAGGCTTCAGCAGTTGGGAGCCTTTGCAGGCAGATTGGGAAGGACCCTCTCCCCTTTGGCTATGCAGAACTGGCCGGGAGTCCTGGTTGATCTAGAAGCAATTGGTGGCTTTCTTGAGGAGGATCATTTTTCTCTACCCAGTGTCCATCAGGAAGCTGCAACTGGGAGCCCTGAGGGCTTCTCTGCCTTTCTTCCTCACGAAGCGGTCGGCGTCAGAAAGGGCAGGCTCTGCTCATAACAAGCCTGCTGCATTTTCCCACAGTTCTCGCAGGTGTCCTCAGAGCCCTGGGTCTTGGCTGTTAGTCCCCTATTCTCTGTCTGAGCTCATCCTGCTCCCTCCAGGTATTTCCTGGTCTTCTCCCCATCAGGCAGTCCCACCCCTTTCTTCTAGAAACTTCTTTCTTGGAACTTGCCTTCTCTGAGACCTTCCTTCTGACTAACTCCTACCTGTTCCCACCTCAGGACTAGAACCCTGGCCCTAATGTCCTCCGCTCTAAAATCACCTCAAGAACAGGCACCAAGGTCAAAGATGCCTTGTGTGTAATGTGGCATATGGAGTCTGTTTAGCTTCTTTTAAAATTTGTGTCTTAAAAAAAAAAATATATATATATATATATATATATAAAATGTTTATAACAAATGCTCAGTGAGTGACCAAAAACCAAGTCGATGAGGCACAAGCTAAAAGTCAAACAGCAGGATGAGGGACAACCCAAGGGCAGAGGATGTGGCCTAGAGCCCGAGATCCGGGTCTTTAGCAGGGAGGAAAGAGCCAGAGGGAGCTGTGTGTGATCCCAGAGGCCATATCCCTGTGTGGCCTTGGGCGCGTCCGCTAGCCCGTCTTCATCTTCGTCTCTTTGCCGTGACTGCCTGGTTACGTGGTGGTGACGATGGAGGGAGAGTGTACGTCAAGGGTCTGACCGCAGTAAATGACAATTGATATATTAATTATTCCTACCTGAATGTTTTTGGCAGTTATATTTACTTCTGTAAAAATTGTCACAAATATTTATTGATCCTTGACTTCACAGAAGTGTTAGTAAAGACAAAAATTAAGCAATATGAAAGAGGAAGTGAAAAATGGAAGGTTTGTTTCTTGTGTTTAAATGTAAGATGCTGGTATGTACACGTTTAAAAGAATGATCTGAAGATTCTGGAATTCTTTTTTTTTTTTTCAAAGATTGGCACCTGGGCTAACAACTGTTGCCAATCTTTTTTTTTTTTTTCTGCTTTATCTCCCCAAACCCCCCGTGTACATGGTTGTATATCTTAGTTGCATGTCCTTCTAGTTGTAGGATGTGGGACGCTGCCTCAACGTGGGCTGACGAGCGGTGCCATGTCCGCGCCCAGGATCCAAACCCTGGGCCGCCACAGCGGAGCACGCAAACTTAACCACTCAGCCACGCAGCCGGCCCCGATTCTGGAATTCTTAATTCAAGCTTGCTACTTCTGATAATGTCTGCCTGTGTTTCAGTCTTTCTAGCCTTAAAACAATTTAGATATTATTACTAGTAAAATAAATATATGCACTGGATATTAAAACTTTTGTGCTCCTAAAGCACAAGGAGGCAAAACTTGCCCCCTGCTTCCCTTTTATCTCTAAACTGAGGCATCTGCCTGCTCTGATATTTAAACATGGGGATATGCTACCCCCTAGTGATAACCTAGAGAAAAGCGGAAAATGCACAAGTCAGCATTTAGGGCGAAGAAAATAAAGTACCTTAAAACCAAGCGTGTAATGATCCCATTCTCTAAACTGAGATTTCAAAAAAAAAAAAAAAAAGCCAAAAACAGATTACCAAATCCCACCAAAGTTATTCTTAATCTTACTGAATAATTTCAAGTTATCCTTGAAAGAAAACCAAACACAACATTGCTTTCATGGGAAAAAATATATAAAGGTTTATTACATATTACATATGCATGTGTACATATATTGCATATTATATACATACATTTATATATATGTAGGTACTCTTTTAAAATGAGCCATCTGGGGCCCGGCCCTGTGGCTCAGTAGTTAAGTTCGTGCACTCCACTTCGGCAGCCAGGGGTTTCGCTGGTTCGGATCCTGGGCACGGACGTGGCACTGCTTGTCAGGCCATGCTGAGGCAGCGTCCCACATGGCACAACCAGAAGGATCACAACTACAATATACAACTATATACTGGGGGGCTTGGTAGAGAAGAAAAATAATAATAATAATAATAAAAGGAAGATTGGCCACAGATGTTAGCTTGGGGCCAACCTTTAAAAAAAGAAAATGAGCCATCTAACCCTGCTGTAAATCAAATACACTTCACTCCATTTGACGAGACTTCTCAACGTCATATGTCCACATGATGTGGTTCAGTTGGGCTGTGAAGGGAGACTTGCGTCTGGCACAGCTCCTTTAACAGTGGGTCCATGCACATCCTTCCCGGTGGGTTTGTGCATTCCACCTCCCTGTGTATTAACCCACGTGTGGACTTCACGTGCACTGAGCAAGGGAAGTCTGTCTCGCTGTTTGTCAGTGCTGTCCACACTTGGAGACAGGATGGTCAGGCGGCAACCCGGGAGGTGTCGGAGAAAATGATGTCTTACTGGTATCAAAAGCCCCAGTGAAACACGTCCTTTATCCCTAGCATCCGACATGTCCCTGGCAACATCCTGTGGCTTCCTGAAGTGGCCGGAAATATCAAAAAAGACTAAATGGCTATTTTAGGTGTTCCTATTACTCATCTTACAGATGGATTCAATCACATTGCTCTTTATCATGGTCATCTATATTTAACCCACCCCATTCATTTGGGTGAGCTGACCTTCCTACCTAGGAAACCAGCGTAATCCACAAGCATCCAATATTTATTAAGCATAAACAGTGTGTGCCAGCTGATGTTCTAGAAAATAATCCTTGCCCTTGAAGGGCTCATCGACCAATAAGATGGTAGGCATGTGGACAAATACTATCAGAAAGGTGCACAGTAAGCGTCTTTAAAAGGTGATCTGGGACCCTCTGCCTTGGAAGGGGATTAGTATCTGGGAGACACTCCCAAAATATTGCTGTTCCTCACCTGTGTGCCCTTGATGGCTCTGTGTAGCACAATGGCGTGACTGCTCCCACAGCACTCTCAGTCTCTGCCTTGGCAGAAGGCTTTCCAACACGCAGCTCTGATGACACCACAGCCCGAGTGAGAGGTGGCCGTGTCCTCCCAGGGCGAAGGCTAGGGAATGCCATCACTCACTGAGTATATCAGTTATCTCTGCTGTGTAACAGATTACCTCCAAAACTTAGTGGCCTAAAACAACACATGCTTCTCGTCTCAAAGTTTCCGTGGGCAGGAGTGGGCGTGGCCTAGAAGGGCTCCCTGCTTCAGGTCTCCACAGGCTGCTGTCAGCTGCAGCAACATCGGCCTCCAAGCTCATTCAGTAAGTGGCAGGAGTCGTCGTCCCTTTGGGCCACTAGAACAGAATACCATGGACTGGGTGGCTTAGAAACACCATTTCTCGAATTTCTGGAGGTAGGGAAGTCCAAGCTCGAGGTGTCAGGAGATGTCATGTCTGATCAGAACCTCCTTCCTGGTTCTTAGACGGCTGTCTTCTCGCTATGTCCTCGCATGGTGAAGGGGCAGGAGGGCTCTCTCAGAGTCCTTTACAAGGGCACTGACCTCATTCGGGAGGGCTCCACCCTCAGGACCAGCAGAGCAGACTAACCAATAACCAGTCTATAGGTAAGAGACATAAGGGGAGTTTGACTTGAGCCAAACTGAGGATTATGACCTGGGAAGGCCTTTTCCAGAAAGAAAGAAGGCATTACGGAGAATCATGCTTTCAGTACAGTCTTATATCCTTGAGAACAAAGAACATACATTAAACATGCCCAGGATACATATTCATCGAAGTTTCAAAGAGGTGTTCAGTTGCAAGCTAGCAGGTCAACATGCCCCGGAAGTCAGGAAACGGACTCCTAACACCAGTATCACCAACAGGGCGTATGGGAGGATGCACTCTTATCTTTTTTGTTGTTGGTTTTTTTATTTTTTGAGGAAGATTAGCCCTGAGCTAACATCTGCCAATCCCCCTCATTTTGCTGAGGAAGACAGGCCCTGAGCTAACATCTGTGTGCATCTTTCTCTACTTTATATGTGGGACACCTACCACAGCGTGGCTTGACAAGTGGTGCCATGTCCGCACCCAGGATCTGAACCGGCGAACCCAGGGCCACCAAAGCGGAACATGTGCACTTAACCGCTGCGCCACTTGGCCGGCCCCAGAAGCTTTTAATTTTGATGACGTCTGGTCGATCATTTTTTCTCTTATGGATCCTGCTTTTGATGTCATAACCTAACCTAAGGTCACAAAGATTTTCCCTTATATTTTCTTCTAGAAATTATATATTTTTAGCTTTTACATTTTGGTCTGTGATCCGTTTTTTGTTCAGTTTTGTATTTGCTGTGAAGTGAAGGTCCAGCTTCATTCTTTTGCATCTGCATATCCAGCAGCACTTGCTGAAAAGACTGCCCTTCCCCCACTGAATCTGCCTTTGTCAACAATCAGTTGACCATGAATGTAAAGGTTTCCTTCCGAGCTCTCAGTTCTGTTCCATTGATCCACCCGTGCACTAATCCCACACTGTCTTAATTACCGTAGCTTTATAGGAAGTTTTAAGTTGGGAGGGTGAGTCTTCAAATTTTGTTATGCTTCAAAATTGTTTTGGCTAATCTGGGTCCTTTGCATTTCCATATAAATCTTGGGATCAGCTTATCATTTTCTACAGGAAAAAAAAAGGTCCTCATCTGGGAATTTGATAAGGATTGTGTTGAATCTATTCAGTTCAGGAAGAACTACCATCTTAACAATATTGAATCTTCCAATCCATGAACATGGACTGTCTCTCCATTTATTTTTATCTTCTTAATTTTTCTCTCAGCCGTGTTTTGTCGTTTTCCGCATGCAAGTCTTGCATTTCTTTTGTTATTTATTGCTAAGTATTTTATTCTTGTGATGTTATTGTGGGTGGAATTTTCTTAATCTTATTTTCGGCTTGTTTGTTGCTGGCATGTAGACATACAGTTGACTTACGTATGTCGACCCTGTATCCTGTGCCCTTGTGGGACAGGCTTTTCTGAGTTAGAGCCACCTACAGAGCCAGCCCAGAGATACACAGGCTCCTGCAGAGCCGGGAGCCCACCTCCCCATGTCCTGGAGCTGAGCCTCCCCTCAGCCTCTCTCTGCCTGAGCACATCCCCCTGGTGGGAGACAGGTCACTTCACTAAAAGGGGGTGCAGAACTCTTGAGCAGCGCCATCTGAAGGTTCTTCCTTAAGCCAACTGCAGTCCACATCTCTGTGCCCACTGCCCGCTGGCCTGGTCTGCTCTCTGGGGCGAGCAAACCGCTCGATGCTCCTTCCTAGAGACAAGACCGCCTCGGCCCGGCCCCTCCATGTGGCCCCAGAGCTGACACGAGCCAGCTGAGCCCTGTCTGGCCTGTGCAATGCAGGGCACAGTGGGACCATTACCTCCTGTCACCTGAACACAGGGTCCTCTTTACTGCAGCCCAGCGCTGCACTGCTCTCTCAGTGGCCACAGAACACCTTATCCCCAACAATACGCTTTTAAGAGCCGTAACGGATTTTTTAAATGTTGCGTATCTACTAACGCCTCTGGAATCTGTGGCAGGTTCCCTCATGGCAGCAGCGGGGATAAACGGCTCATGCCCCTGGCTTGCGTCCAGTCCTTTCTGAGCTCAGTGCTGCAGTGAATTCCTCTCCATCAGTGCGGGCTCCAGCACAGCATTTCCCAGAGACGGGGCAGTCTCCGCCGTGGTATGCCGAATGATCCTAGGAACTACACAAACCCAACAATAAGTAACATCAATACACAGAAATTATTGCTTTTTAAAGCATCTTCCACTCTCTCCAGTTGTGGCAAAGACGCAGTCTGTTAGTGCTGATATGTCTTTAATTATTTCTTTAACCCCTGGTAACCCTCCCCCAACTACCCCTTTTCTAAATGAAGAGCAAGCCTTGGGAAAATGGCATAATTTAGTAATACTTTGTTTTTCATTGTAAGTTATCTATGGCAAGTGATACTAGTTTTCCATTTGCAGTGGCATTATAAAGTTGCCTTTCAAAATGAAGTAAAAGTTTGAGTTGATGAGGAAAAATATTAACTGGACTAGAGGTGGTACACAGATACGGCAAAGGTGAAGGTGGTTTGGGATCTCGACAGGTGGGATACACCGGGATGGTGGCAAGGGCAGCCGCCCCCACCACTGAAACCTGGCTTCCCGGTCTGCCATGAACTTGCCCTATGCTCCCAGTCAAGCCGTGTCCCCACTCTGGGAGCCACCGCACCCTCTGCGCCCGACGGTGGGGTCTTCCTGTGGACACTAACCCTGTGTGGTCGTGCCCCTCCTGCAGGTGCGGCGGGCTGGGGCTGGTGCTGGCCAGCGCGGGCTTCGGCATGTTGACGGCGCCCATCATCGAGCTGCACAACCAGAAGGGCTACTTCCTGCACCACATCATCTTTGCCTGCTGCACGCTCATCTGCATCATCTGCATCCTCCTGCTGCCCGAGAGCAGGGACCAGAGCCTGCCCGAGAACATCTCCAACGGGGAGCACTACACGCGGCAGCCGCTCCTGCCGCACAAGAAGGGGGAGCAGCCCCTGCTGCTCACCAACGCGGAGCTCAAGGACTACTCCGGCCTCCACGACGCGGCTGCCGCGGGCGACGGGCTGCCCGAGAACGCCACGGCCAACGGCATGAAGGCCATGTAGCTGTGGGCGCAGCCTCCCTGACGGGGCGCGGGGTTCCCAGGGTTGGGGCTGCTTGGGCACAGGTTTACAGACCAGGGACCCAAGCCGTGGCTGGGGCAGGGACGCCCACCTCTGCTGCTGACGCCACGGCATCACGAGACTTTGAGCTGGTGTGGGGGATTCTGTCTTTCCGAAACTCTGAGGAGCGTGTGTTTGAGGAAGCAAACGCTTTGGAAATAACCCTTCAAAGACTTTCTTTTCTGCCATTAAATGTTTGTATTTATTTTGGTCATTTTTATGAGAAGCACTTTATTCCCTCATCCTGCAATAGAACCACCTCCTTCGGGAGAGGGACACGGTGGCCGGAGGCCGAGGCTTAAGAACCAGTGCAGCCAGTCTCCTTGCTGGGGCTGGGGCGCCGCTCTCGTCCACCCCGGAGGAGCAGATGTCCCCTCTGCCGCCCGGGCCACCCCACGGCTGCCTGCCGGTGTTCAAGGAGAGACCCCACGATCCGTCGGGGAGCGTTTCCATGACTGCATTTTGGACAGAGTGAAATGTAAATGAGTAGGTTTTTGCTAGAGAGCCTATGTGTGGTTTTTAAAGGTTTTTCTGTTTGTAAGGTAAGAGCTTCTGTTCCATGTGTTGGGGGAAAGCGGCTCACAAATATCATTAAAACCAGCTTAGTCTTTCCTTCCAGATTATCCTTTTGTACTTGATGCTAGAAGCTCTTTGGGGAAAAGCTTAAGCATTTCACCAGAAATCTTAAATCATTACTGGTACTTCTGCCACAGTTTCCTGACACAGGTTTGTCTGCCCGGCTGAGTGCAGTGAGCAAGTATGTTGAGGTCTGAGACGTGTCACCGTTATTAATACTCCTTCCCAGATTTGGCTCCAGCAGCAAAGGTCCCTTTCAGTCAGCTTTTTTGCCAGCACTACTTGAAAACACGGCTACTTTCTGAACTAAAACCAACAGCAGACTAGGTGAACTAGACGATGAAGGCAAGCCCGCTGGAGGGAGGCGCTCCCCCAGACGCAGCTGTCGCCCGCGTCTCGAGCACACGCCACGTGGAAATCAGCAGCTTGGATGACTGTCGGCTCTCCCTGACCTCACGCGAGACTGTGAGCCTGTGGGAGACGCCCCACCCTGCCTTCGCCTGCTTTCTGTCACCTCCTCAGCACCGAAGCGGGGCTCAGGGCCAGAAGTGGGGTCTCACAGGTGAGTCCAGCTGACCTCCAGCCTCTTAAAGCATCAAGACCAATTGAAAGCAATAACTCACCAAAGTCCGCCTCCACCCCCACCCCCGATATCCAAGGGGTCTCACTGTGTTGCTCGTTCCATCCCAGACAAGGAGGCTTCCTCCTGCCTTTTTCAGGTCCAGCTGTCTCCCCCTGGCTGTGGGTGTTTCAGAGGACACTTGGAAGGCCTCCTCAAGGACACCCAGGGCCGCTAAAAACAGGCTTCATCGGCACAGGTGGGTGCCACCTCGTAGCTACACAGGCACCCGATTTTTTGGACAGCCTGGGTCCTTTCTAGAATTGTCCACTTCCCAACTCTGTGACACGTGTCTTTGCCAGGGGCCGTGTTCTTCCAGGAAGTCATGGTCTCAGGTCTGTGTGAAGCAGTTAGGTGACTTCCAACTGATGGCTGCCAGCACTCAAAGGGCCAGAACAGAGGTTGACTCAGCGTCCCTTCCTCCCCTTCCAGCTTTCCACCTGGTCTTTTCTTACCGTCTACACCCACTGCCCTCCTCCTAAGTGGGCAGACCTCAGTAGGAGCCACTCACTTGATGAAACATCGTGGAGAGGCGAGCAGACCTGCAGGCCCATGAGCGCCGTGTCTGTGTAACCACTGTCCCTGTCTCATTGGCCGCACCTGGGGTCTCCAGCCTCCTCTGAGGACCGGCTGCCGGGAAGGTGGGCCATCTGGGCTGTCTCTCCCCAGCTCCACCTGTGCCGAGCCCAGCTCATCCTCCCCTTCCCTCGTCTCTTACGGCATTTTTGGTCCACGTTTCAATGTTAGTCCGCATTCACCTTAATTTAAGAAGGTCTTTCTTTACTTCTGCGCAGCCTTCGCGTACCAAACTTGTGAAATACCTTTTGCCTTTTTTAGAGTACTTACTACAGAGCCACCTGGCAGCAAGGCCATTGGGTCCAGGACCAACATGTGCAGCAGCCAGGCCATTGGGCAGTTGGGGAAGGTAGGAAGGAGCCAGCGAGGTCCCTGGGCCGCCTCCAGCCAGGTACATGTCTGCATCCGTCACCCCAGCACTGAGACACCTCACAGTCCCTCTCCTGTCCCACAGAAGGACTTGTGAGTCCTTCTCACTCTCTTTAAGAAACATATTGAAGCTGTCGAGTGCAGCCAGGAATCTCCAGGAATGTGGAGGCAAAGCCCAGCACTTCTAACTCCTGTCCCCAGGTCCCTGATCGCCATCGTAACTGACAACAGAAACACTAGTCGACCAGCAGCCGGCCCTGTCACGTCAGCCTCAGGACTAACTCGTGTTGACTAGAAGAGAAGCTGGCTATGAGGACTGAGCTCTCAGGACCAAAGTCTGGTGGATGTGCATGAGGCTGGCTAGCCGATGGTCGGCAGTGACATCTCAGCGGAGGCCCCACAGCTCTCCTCTCCTGGCAGCCTCAGGATTCGGCTGAGCTCCTGTCCTGTTGCCTGTTCAGCGTGGGGGTGTCTGAGGCTCTGCAGGAGCGCCTTTGTGAAGTGTCGCCATAGCAGAAGGGCTTCCCTGTGGGCGGGGCTGTGCGGCCAGTGCCCCAGGCCATCGCCTGGTGTGGACTCCTCAGTCCATTCCCCTCACGGCTGGAGGGAGATGCTTCTCTCTCAGGCCGCTGCCACCTCCAGTCCACCCTCTGCAGCACCCGCACCCCTGGCCAGGGAACATCCAAGGTACGTGCTCTGGCCGCTCTCTTCCACCCACTCCCAACCCTAAGGATCAGGGAGCTGGGGGCCCTTCAGTAAAAGTTACCCACAGACATAAACACCTGGGACGGGCTGGGTCTTTCTTCATTTTGTTCTTTTCCAGAAGTCCATCATAACTTATCAAATACCGTAAATATTAGCACCCAAGACAAATAGGAAAAAGGTTTAAATGTTTTCTAAAAGAGCATAATCCCTTGCAGCTAGAGGAGAGGGGCTGTTAAGTTGGTTTGGCGACAGAACAGCGAGCAAGCAAAACAAGCCCTGTGCAGAAATACTGCACTCAGGCCAGCTTCCCAGAGTCACACACGGGATGGCGAGTGCCCGTGCAGGGACCGTGTGGCCGGGCGTGTGCGTGCGGGGCAGGCCGCACCCCACCGCTCTGAGGGCTGGACACCTCACTTCATGTATCTCGTGTTTTGGAAAAGCAGTGCAGTGTGTTGTCTAGTGGGGAACTCTCCCCTCCCTCTGTCCTTCCCGCAGCCCCAGCACGGAGGTTTCTCTGTAAGAACCGTGTTCCTGTACCTGCCGCCCGGGATTCCTCTGGAGGTGCTCCTGCATAGCACAAGCCTAACCGAGTTCTGAACTGTCGTTCAAAGCTCAATGTCTGCATGATGTCACATCTGTGGTTCCTTTGGGGAAAATTTGTATGTAAATGTACAGAAATAAAAACATTGCCCATTAACAAATTTCCTCTGGAATGTCTTCCCTACCTCATCTGATGGTATCCAATGAAAGACATTTCACGACCACTCACTACCAGGAATAAAACTGTTGTCTCAGACCTGGCTGCGTCCCTGCGTCCCTCTGTCAGTGCCTCTGCAGAGCCAGCCCCCAGGCTCGCCCTGAGGGACGGTGGGTGGCCTCTCACTCCGCTGCAGGCCCTAGTCTCAAAGGCAGGCAGAGGCGGGGATGAGATTAAACTTCACTGTGTGTGTCGTGCCGCTCCTACACCACCTGAGGCCCGGGCCCTCAGTAAACTGGAGAGTTCTTTCCTCCCGTGTGTTGATGTCCTGCTAACCCGTGGCCTGAAGGTTCCTAGAGAGGTCAAGAAATGCTTATCTTACACTGTGATTCTGTGAGGAAAGACTAATACTCCAAAACTCTCTTCTTCAATGTAGTATTTTTTAACAAGAAAACAATATTTCTTTAATAAAGTATTTATACCAAACTCTTCTCTCCTTAGCCCTGATTTTGTTACTTACTCTTCCTAGAGAGGTACTCATGGTGCTTCCACGCTCTGGCTACGCTGGCCGGGGCCTTGGAAGTTAGCACAGGAAGTCTGCAAAGGAGGGAAGCATCCTGAACCCCAGATCTACTCCTCCGAAGGGCCTTTACATCCTGGCCAAAGTGCCACCCCCGCCCCACTGGCTGCCTACCACTGGCCCAATGCAAGGCTTCTGCCACTGCATGAAATGTGTTACAGGGCCCGACTATCCACCTCTAGTAACAAAAGGGGTCCAGATGGACCAGATTAGGAAGTCCTTTGCCAGGGGTCCTCAACCTTGCCTGTGCTGAGAAGCACCTGCGGAGCTTTCAACCCGCAAAGCCTGGGCCCCAGGCCGCCTGAGTCTCTGGGAAGGGCCAGGCATGGTGATCTGGGAAAGCCCCCTCAGGGATTTGAATGTGAAGTTAGGAAACCTGACCCATGAAATACTGGCTTTCGGAAAGGGATGTGAAGGAAAACATGTAGCACGTGGTACTAGAAAGACAAATCCACTTCAGGTGGCAGGCGGACAAGGGCTAAGGATTAAAGATGACCCGAGCAGGGACTTGGGAGAAAAGAGGAGGAGGAAAGACAGGTAACAGGAAAAGCCAGGAGGAGCCGAAGCTCGTGGATCCACAAAAATGACATAGATCTATGAAACCATAATTGACATCTTGACTGCCATGGCACTTGGAGTCTGCAAAGCATTTCTGTATGTGCAGTCCCAACAAAAACCCAGCAAGGTGGAGATCAGTCCCATCCCATAGGTGAGGAAATGGCCCAGAGAAGTGCGACTTCACCAAGACCATAAACCTGGTGAGCAGGGCGGAGCAGGCTGGGACAGGCCAAGAGACAGTGCGGGGGGGGGGGGGGGGGGGGGGGGGAGAGGCGTGCACAGCTGGAAGGGAGGACGGGAGGCAGCCGGAGCCCACTTTACACAGACCCACCACCTGAACTCTAACTGGGGTCATGACTAATGCGAGTCTTTCTGGGGTTATTAGACGGTCCGCCCTCCATCCCATCAAAATCACATTTTACCCCTTTTCTCTATTTTTGAGCACTCGCATGAGGAAACCTTCCTGCCCGTTCTGCTTGTCTCCTTGCCCAGGGTGATCAGTTACAGCCTTTGAAAAGACCCACCTTCTGGTGAGGGGCAGAAGGAAAGTTAATAAGATTAACCCTGTAAAAACAAAATGGAAACACATTAACCTGCTGACAGACAAACAGTAGAATTCAATCCATTTATTTAAATGTGTACTATACATAAGTTACAAATCCTCGGTTCTGCCTCAGCTAGAACTTCTCCGGGAAAGCCTCCATTTCCTCCTTGATCCTGTTTTCTACAAGTAATGCGAAGTTGCTGTCTGTGTTTTGAAGGTTATAGCTGACAAACACTTGTTTGTTGGTCTTCCTGGCTAAAAAGAGAAAACACATCGACACAGCCATGACTGACGTGCCCGGAGGTCCCTCCTCATGGCTACCTTACAGCTGAGAAATGCTTGCAGAAAGCGAATGGGGTGTTGGGGAGAGAGGAAAGTTCTGATTTCTACGACTTCACAGGCGGCTGCTGCAAATGCAGACTGAACTCTCTTGGACCCTCTGCTCATCTCCAGAACAGAGTTTCTCAGGGTGTGGTCCCCTCATGAGCAGCATCACCTGCCAACTTGTTGGAGATGCAGTTTCTCAGGCCACACCCCACATCCACTGAATCAGACAGGCTGGGGTGGGTTGGGGCCCGCAGTCTCTGTTCACAAGCCCTCGGGGATCTGAACACTGAGGTTTGAGAATCACTGCTTACAGAGAAAGCTGGTTTGGCTTTTTTTACTTCCTAAAAACACAGATAATGTTAAAGTATTTAAAATAAAATATTAAAGTTCTCCTTCAGCGCCACCCTCTCTACGGATTCCACTCCCCTCCCTGACACAATTCTACATTTCTGCACATTTACAAATAGATACACACACACACACGTGTAACTTTCAATTTGATCTTGAATATATGTTCTAACCTCTTTCTACAGAACTAATAAGAGTCGAGGTGTCCTGCTCCAACGACAGAAATCAAGCACAGTTACAAGCCCAGACGCTGAAGGCAGCACAGTCATCTAAGACCAGGAGGCAGGAAGCCTCAACCAGTTGCACGGTGTGATTCCCAGTGCTGAGGCCTCCCTGGGCCTCACCTCACACACAGCCAGGGTGCAAACTCCTCCTCCCCACAGAGGCACCCACCCCACCCTCCCACACGGACATGACCACGCCAGTCCCATCAGCAAAGGCGAAAAGGGGGTGAGGTGAGGAGAGGTGAGGCTGGGGCCTGTCAAGTCACACTAGCTCAGTCTGCCCTTGTTCAGTGGCAGGGACTTCCCTGTCCCCAGAGGGGCCCACTCCGATTCCAACTGCTCTCCTTGCTAAGACAGGGTCTTAACAGGGAGCAAAGCTGTGTCTGCCTGCATCGTGCGCCCAGCTGACCCAGCTTTGCCCTCCAGAGCCACACGGAGCTGGGGGTCCCCACTCCACCGAAGCCCCCCAACGCTTCCATGGTGATTCTGAGCCCTCTAGGTCACTTCTTTCCCAGCTTCCTTTCATCTTCCATGTGAGCTGCTGTTTCAGGACACCTCTCTCATCTCATTTCCCCTTGAATAGCTCACTTTCCACTGCAGGGTCCAGGCCCACCCACGCCTGAGACAGCCGCACAGCCCAGGGCCGCCTGGACAGCCCTGCGGGACCTTGGCACGCACTCACTCAGCCTTTGTGGTGCTGGCAGCCATGTCACACCACTGACTTCTCGAGCCTCATCTGTGTTCCTGTCCTTGCTGGGCAGTGGTTGAGGGCTGCCAGTCTTTGCCGATACACACAGGATGGGGCCTTTCATTAATATTTGACTTTAATAAGTTGGTAAGGATATATTTTCTGTCTGTGTTCTATTTTAATGTGTGTAGATTATTGTAAATTGATGTAAACCACGTGAGAGATGTTAATTTTAAAAAGCCCCAACATTTGAACAAAACTGAAAAACAAAACAACAAAACAAAGGGGCCGACCCAATAGCGCAGCGGTTAAGTTCGCACGTTCCACTTCTCGGTGGCCCGGGGTTCACCGGTTCAGATCCCGGGTACAGACATGGCACTGCTTGGGGTGCCATGCTGTGGTAGGCGTCCCAAATAGAAAGTAGAGGAAGATGGGCACAGATGTTAGCGCAGGGCCAGTCTTCCTCAGCAAAAAGAGGAGGATTGGCAGCAGATGTTAGCTCAGGACTAATCTTCCTCAAAAAAAAAAAAAAACCTAGTTTTTTTCATACAAACTGCTACTAGGCCTCCATCACAACGACACTCCTGAGCTCATCTTACTTCATTGGCGTAAACAACTGATTTGTAGCACGCCAAACAGGTTCCCAGCACCCTTCTCTACCAGAATCTGTCGTCCACGCTGTGGCGGTCCACCCAGTTTTCTGGCTCTCTAAGTAGGAACACGCCATGTCTTCATGGGACCAGGCATGTCACAGAAGGAGCCTGTTGCACATGGGCGTGTCACTCCCTTGAACAGTGGCAAACGCAGAGAGAAACAGCAGAAGCAAAGCGTGCCGTGTCTTCAGCTTACTTTCACATGGCTCAGAGAAAATAATGACACAACAGAGAGGGAGCGATGACACTTGGGGATCTGGGTGACGGCTAAGCAGGAATTCTGTGCATGCTTTTGGCAGCTTTTCTATAAATTTAAAATTATTTCCTAACAATAAATTACCAAAATAACCTGGCTGACACTAGTCAGGTTTCTAACTTCAGGCTAAAGAAACAGTACCGTGGACGTTCCTAAAACGCCGCGGCTGCCCTCGCGGCCTGCGCCCTGTCCACGCAGAGAACGCGGTGTGGCGCGCCCACGGGGAGCTGGCTCGCCCGCCCCGGCGCCCTGCTGCGCCTCCACACGCAGCTGCACCGTACCTGCGTGCACCCGGAGGGGCTGACACAGCAGTTCCCACTGGGCAGCGATCAGGCTGGTAACTGTCACACGATTAAAACATAATCTCCCCAGAATCAGGGGCGGGGCCGGATCCGCTGCGCACCCCCAGCGCCAGGGCACAGGGGCTCCCTCCCTGGCTTGACAACTGCGCTGACTGGGCTCCCTGGTGAACACAAAGACTGAGGAGGGGACGGGGGCTGCCCTCCTGTCCGCGGTCTTCGGCGCCCGTGACGCCCTGGCGGTGGCGCACGCTGGCGGAGGCAGAACACGCTGCCCTCACCTGAACTGCCTGGGTCTTCACAGGAGTCTGCGTGCGCGGAGGGGGCGGAGCCTTCGACCTCCCGTTCTTTGCTTAACACCCACTCTACGCGACGCTCAGGCCAGGCCGGTCTCTCTTCTGATCTCTGAACACCACCACACGGAGAGAGAAGGGCAGTCCCTCCTCCTCGGGGCTGGTACCCTGCTCCACAGGCTCCACCGAGTCCCTGGGAGGCCCAGGAGGCCACCTGGAGTCGCTGCGGCATCATTCACACTCTCCTCCCGAGATGATGTGCTTACAGGAGGGAGCAAAATCACCTCTCACTCCCAGGCTTGGACGGCAGCCAAGCATGACATGGGAGTCCCTTGGGAGCACACTGGCCCTTGGCCCTGAGACAATGGGCATGGACGTGCCCTCCTTAAAGAAGACCCAATATACAAAGGTCTGTGCTTAGCCTGCAGTAAGGAGTTGGTTTACCTCTCAGTATAAAGATTCTGTACCTCTGAAGTGGCTTGCCTCATGATTCCATTAAACAGTGAGGTCCCCATCTGGCTGCTCGTGCAGCGCCAGCTCTGGGTACGTACCTAAGCGCTGGGCAAGGCCAGTGGAGGTCGTGTCAGAAGTGTCTCCGAGGAGGGAAGTGGACACGGGAATGGAGTCCTAAAAGGAAAACAAAGAACACAGTGCTGCTTCTCCAGCAGCCAAGCTCCTGTGCCTTCTGCTGCTTCACGAGGGTGGCTGTGGCAGGTTCTGGGAGGTCAGACACATCTGCCAAGAGAAGGAAGGTCTGGCATCTGTGTCAATAGCCAGGTAGGTTGACCTTCTAATGCATATGAGGTCACACAGCTGGGACAGATGAGAAGTCACCTGAATCTGGCATCACAGTGCTGTTAATAAGTTCCAGGGCCTATTTCACATAAAGAGCTTGTTTTCGTGTTGGAAACTCCAAAGCATGCTGAAGGGCAACATTAGGAGCAAGACGGAAGCAAACAAGAACATTAGGGGCATAGCAAGAAGAGAGCCGATCAGAGTCTGGGCGCCAAGTGCCTCGGGTCCCGCTCGCCCCTGAATGGCCACCAGCCGAGAGGGCAGGATGCCTAATCTCCTCATCGGGGCCTGTAGAGAACACACCTCGCCAGCCCCTGAAGGTGTCTGGGCTCTTCAAGGTTAACAAGGGCCCTGTGACTCTGCAGACAGCCACCAACCTCAGCACCCAATGACGAAAATAAAAACTTCTGAACATGCTCAGCCGATCCTCATTGCAGATAAGCAGCAATAAAACTAGAGACAAATAAATGTGGCCCTCCTGAAATCTAGAAGTAATCTTACTTCCAACTCCTTTGGAAGCAATTCCTCTTACCATTAAAAAGGCCTACCTTCAAAGAAAAACACCACTAACTTATAAGGTGGCAAAAAGGAAGACTTCTGAAAGAAACAGCTTCGGTACACAGGTCCAGGAGTCTTAGGAAGTGACAAGGTTTTTATAGGGACAAGCTTGTGCAGTCAGAGGCTCTGGGGTTTGGTGCCCTCCCGAACCCACACCGTCCAGGTAGAGACAGGTGAACTGAACGCACACCTACTGTGTGTCAGACACTGTGAGCAGAGCACAGATCAGAGACTGCTCCTTGTCTGCCAAGGGTTCAAAGTCACTCCAATATGAGACAAAATTGTTGTCTATAAAACAGATTTATTTGGTCTATAAAGATGATCAAAAAGCACAGGATAAGGGGCTGGCCCGGTGGCGTAGTGGTTGGGTTTGCATGCTCTGCTTTGGCGGCCCGGGGTTTGCAGGTTCAGATCCCGGGTGCAGATCTACACACCGCTCATCAAGCCACGCTGTGGCAGCATACCATGCACAAAATAGAGGAAGACTGGCACAGATATTAGCTCAGTGACAATCTTCCTCAAGCAAAAAGAGGAAGATTGGCAACAGATGTTAGCTCAGGGCCAGTCTTTCTCACCAAAAAAAAAAACAGGACAAGAATGAAAGCATTTACTGCATGCCTTTTTGTTGAAAAAGATACAAAAATATGATCTGAACGAGTTTGCTGTTTATAGATTTCATGATTAACATTTAGCTGTATGTTAACAGTACTTACAGTTAAACCACCTGAAAACAGAAAATCTACCTTAACAGAGTGGCCTTTTTCCACCAAAAACAAAATTTAAAACCCCATATTGCTACCCTTCTTAATACTTCATTATTTCCAAAATCACATCATGCCAGCTAGTCTCCCAGGCAGACACCTGCCTAGACAGTTCTGCCGTGGCTGGAGCACCACCTTCCACTCCCCCAAGTAGGCCGAACACGTCCTCGATTCTCTGAGCACACAGGGTCCCACACCCCATCTTCCCTCGTCCCAGGCCAGCTTCCTCATGCTGGTGGGACAAGCATCATCCTAGTCCTGCAGCCTCTCTTGGCACCAAACACAGACCTGCTCGCTGTGAGACGGGCCAGCTGGGAGAGCAGCACAGCTGTGCAGTCTTGTCTTACATGTGGGGGTTTGGGGACAGTAGGAGGGGGCAGACCTCACAGACCCTTTGGTACCATCCTCCACACATGGGCTGGCAAACTTTTTCCAAGAAGGGCCAATAATAAATAATTTAGTTTTTATGGACCACAAGGTCCAACTCCAACTCCTCAACTCTGCCATCGAAGTGCAAAAGCTGTGCCAGATGCTACTGAATGGACGGGCATAGTTGTGTTCCAATAAAACTTTATTATAAAAGTAGACGGCAGACCAGCCCACAGGCAATAGTTTGCTGAGCCCTGTTCTGCAGGAATCTTAGGTTTCCTCCCTTAAGTTATGGCCTGCACCTCTTCCCCCTAGCTGGCTGTGCACCTGCCCCTGGAGGGCACACAATGTGGTCAGTAAGTGGGACTGGCTCCTTTTCTGTTCCTGCCCCAATCTCGGTGGACAGTGACTTTCCAGTTGAGAAAATACACCCTACTAGGAGCTATGACTACCAAGTGGTCAGGCCAACAAAGCAGCCCACAGGAGAAGCCTTGAAGCTGATTCAAGATAGCAATGCCTCGTCTTAACCAGTGAGCAGTCCTGGGCCCCCTATGGCCCACGGCCCTACCCGCTGTCGATGACTACAGCCTTAGATCTAGGAAAGCAAGAAAGTAAGGTGGCTCTAGAGCACCCTGACCTCCAGACACACAGCCCTGCCCATCACCCCCTGCCCTCCAGGCCTCCGCCTCTCCTCCAATGAAAGACCTGAGACAGCCACCTGCCCAAAGGCCCACCTGCTGGTACTCACCAAAAAAGAAAGGAAAAAAAACACAGCAGGAAAAGAACAGCAAGAGGAGAAAGGGAGAGGAGGGCACTGTGTGAGGATATCCAAAATCGCATCAGAGCCTTCTTCCTGAAGCCTTGCCCAGGCCCTGCCTGTGGCTCGCTCCTCTGACTTCCCACCACCTCTGGGCCCCCGTACCCGAGATTACAATCCTTACTGCCCGACTAGCTGCGGGTTACCGCTCCTTCTCCCTAGCAAACAGGGTTCCCTGAGGGCTTCACTTATGCCTTCAACAAGGATTTGAGGAGCAGCGTGTCAGATGCTAGGGACACAAAAACTCCTAACACAGACCTCACCAGCACCATGGACGCTGACAATAAGCTGCAGAGGGAGCAGCTGCGAGCTAGAGCAGCCAAGAGGCCACAGCCAAGAGGCCAGTGAGTAGGCAGGGAGGAGGGTGAGAGCAGGGGAGCCACCAGGTGACAGGGCCTCCAGGTCAAGGTGAAGTCTCTGGTTACACTCTGAGATCCTCTCTTGAAAGGTGTGGAGCTGAGGAATGACAGTGTCACACTGCAGTGCTGCCCTGTGGAGCACTGGCCATAAGGTAGTGTTGTGGATTGAACGTGTCCTCCAAAAAGATATGTCCACATCCTAAGCCCTGGTACCTGTGAACGTGCCCTTATTTGGAAATAGGGTCACTGCAGATGTAATCAGGATGTCAGTTAAGAGGAGGTCTACTGGAATAGGGTGGACCCTTAACCTAATATGACTGACAAGAAAAGAAGAGACACAGAGAAGGCCATGTGACACTGGAAGCAGAGACTGGAGAGATGCAGCTGCAAGCCAAGGGACACCAAGGACTGCCAGCAACACCAGGAGCTGAGAGAGAGGCCTGGGATGATTTTGCCCTCAGAGCTCTCAGAAGGAACCAGCCCTGCCAACCCTTTGATTTCAGACTTCTGGCCTCGACAACCGTGCAAGAATAAACCTCTACTGTTGGAGGCCTCTGGGTGTGAGGCACCTTGTTACGGCAGCTCTAAGAAACCAATACAGGAGCAAAGGGGGCATCAGCCAAGGAGGAGCCGAGATGCTGCGCGCCCGGCCCAGGGTGGCAGATCTGCCCGAGCTGAGAGCTGGCTGGATTCCCTGTAGGTTATGACTGACATTCGGCACGTGGAAGGTGGGAGGCACAGAGGAATCAAGGATGACTCCAAGGTTTGGACGGAGTTGCCATGACAGGGGTGGCCTGGCTCTTGGAGGCACAGGTTCGCCAGGAGAGCTCCAGAGTTTGGTCTTGAATACGTCTAGCGTGAGATGTCTACTAGACTTCCAAGTGGAAATACAAAAGTCTGAAGTTCAGGAAAGAGGTCTGCACTGGAAACATAAATAAATGTTGGTGCGGTCAATATACAGACGGCATGAAAGCTGAGCGGTAGGCGCCATCCCCCAGGGCGCGAGTGTGACCAGAGAGCAGAGGTCCCAGATGAAGCCCCTGGACAGCCAACTACAGAGATGGAACCCGGAGCCAGCAGAGGGGTGGGGAGGGGAGGGACCCGCCGGGGCCCACGTGCTCCCCCCGCCGGCGCAGACCCAGACCGCCTCCCCGGCTCCCCAGGACATCAGAGGGAGCGTTCCGGAAAGCCCCGGGCCCACGCGCCCAGGACGGACCTGGGCCGCGCGCGCACCTGGGGGCCTGAAGTTTACCCGGCGCGCGCCTGAGCGCCGTCCGGCAGGCACGCCACGCCCCGCCCAGACCTCTGGGTGACCGGCCCGGCCGCGGCCGCCCGCGTCCCCAGCCCCGCGCCCCGCCCGGCCCGCACTCACGTAGCGGGTGCACATGGCCACGGCGAGGTTGCGCAGGTGCGGCGTGGCCCCCACCCACAGGAAGAGCGAGTCCGTCAGCCGCATGACGTGGAAGTGCACCAGCTGCTCCCAAAGCCGCGCGCTGAAGTTGTGCAGGGACACGTCCCCGGCCGCGCCGGCCCGCGGCCCCTCCATGCCGCCCGCCGGCCCGGCCGACCGCGCCGGACCCCTGTCGCCGCGGCGCCACAGCCGCCGGCCCGGCCAGACCCGAGCAGGCGAGCGCCGAGAGGCCGAGCGCGCCTTCGCTTTCGGTCCCGCGCGCGGGCGGGGCCGTCCGGGGGGCGGGGCCATAGGGCGGGGGCGGGGCCGGGCTGCTCGCGCTCGCCGCGCGGAGAGTCCTGGCCGCGCGCCCGCGCGGCCCCACCGGCCTCCGCCGGCGCTTGGATGCCCCGATGGGCGCGCGTGGAAAGCCCGCTGACGCCACGGCCCGGCGGGGCTGGGCTCCGGCGGTGGGCTCAGGAAGCCCACGGCGCCCGGCAGGACTCATGTTCGCTTGTTCCTTCCTTCCCGCTCCCACTATTGTTGAGGAGCAGCACTGCTGTCCTGGAGCAGGCCACATCTTCCCAGGGAGTGACACGTCGCCCTACAAAGACAATCGCCTTTACTTTACTAGTTCCCTAAGCGCTCCGAGAGCTGCCACCTCCCATCAAGACGCCTTTGCTTTGGTTTACCAAAATCCTCCTCCTAGCAGCCCTGTAACTCCAGGGAGGCCTTGGACGTCCTGGCCTTAAGAATGGCAGGGATACTGAGAGAAAGCCTCTACAAAGGAAAATTGCGTCGACTGAGTTAGCGGGAGGATGAGGGGCCGCTCTTGGACTCAGGCCCCCCGAAGCTGCAGTCGCGTACAGCCGTGGGCCTTGGACTAACCTTTTAACCTCTCTGAGACTCAAGTTCCCTCATCTGCAAAACGGAGATAAGAATAGGTACCTCTCAGAGGAGGGGACAGGATTATGAGCGAGTACATGGGAAACACGGTTGATGCTACGGGACCCTTTAATCTTAGTCACTTTGGGACACTGCAGAGTTGATATAAGGAAGCCTTCAGTGTGTTAAGAGAGAATGTGGTAAAAGCAAACGGCCCATTTTGTCAGATTCTGTTACAAGCAACTGTTGAACTACATTGAAGTTTAAAAGGGTATTTTTACAGGTTTGTTCTATTTGCTAGTTATCAATGATTCAATTGTATAGCTAATTTTCAAGTCAATATTTTTTAAGAGCTTTATTAAGGTATAATCAACATACAATAACTGCACATATTTAAAGTATACAAATTGAAGTTTGGACACGTGTAACTCATGAAATCATCTCTGTAATCAAGATGGCACATCCATCATCCCCAAAGCTTTCCTCAAGCCCCTTCCTGCCTCGTCCCCAACCACTGATCTGCATTTTGTCACTACAGATTAGTTTGCATTTTCTAGAGTTTTATATAAATGGAATTATATAGTAAGTGCAATTTTGTTTGTCTGCCTGTTCACCCATAGTTATTTTGAGATTCATGTAGGTTGTTGGGTATATCAGTAATTCATTCCTTTTTATGGCTGAGCACTATCCCATTGTATGGATGAACCACTAATTGTTTATCTCTTCACATGTTGATGTTCATTTGGGCTGTCTCCAGTTTGGAGATATGACAGTAAAGCTGCTGCGAACATATGTGTAGAAGTAAGTCTCTGTATGGACATATGCTTTCATGTCTCGTAGACCAATACCTAGGAGTAGAATGGTTGTATTATATACTAGTTGTATGTGTAAGCTTTTAAGAACCTGTTAAGCTGTTTTCCATAGTGATCGTACCACTGTACATTCCTGTCAGCAGTGTATGAGAGTTCTGAGTCCTCCCCATCCTCACCAAACAGCCAGGACCATGTCAACTACTTGGTATCGTCAGTCTCTCATTTTAGCCATTGTAAGAGGTAGATAGTGTTATCTCATTGTGGCTTTAATTTTCAGTTTCCTAATTCCTAATGAACCTCAATTCATACTGTACACCATACACAAAAATGAACTCAAAATTGTTCATAAACATAAAACTTAAAACTATAAAACTTCTAGAAGAAAACATGGGAGAAAACATTTATAACCTTTAATTAAACAAAGCTTCCATAGATAAAACTCCAAAAGCATGATCCACAAAAGAAGAATTGATAACCTGGACTAATGGAGTGGATGGTCTCCCCACTCCTCACCTCTGAGGTCCTCTAATGCTTTGTCCTCCTGGAAAACGAACACAGTCTTTAAAATGGAGAGTTTCTATCTAAGAATCTGAAAGAAGTCTCTGGGGTAACTAAGATAACTGGTTAACACCCTATTGCCTCACCGGCCTCCCACGTCTACCAGCACGGTCAAAGCGTGCTCCTCTCTGCTCCTGCAGCTGGCCTCTGAGCACCACAGGGAGACCCACGTGACCCAGCAGACGTGGGCACAACCAGTCATGCCACCCAACACCATGCCACCCGACATCAGCTGCCCCTTCAACACTGCCCTGCAGTCCTTAGATTGCGTCCTCTCTCCTTTGAGGACTAGTCTCCTCAAGCCCTAACCTACCCAAGACCCAGTTCAGCAGCTGACCTTGCTTCTGATTTTACAAAGAAAACAGAGGTTATGGGGGTTGATTTCCCCAACTCCTTGTCCGTCTACTCAGACCCTTAGCTAACCCCATTCTTACCGCCTTCTCTCCCCCTTATTATGGTGAGAAATGCCCCACCTCTTGTCAAAGGTTAATCTACCCATCTGTGCTCTGACACTGTCGTCCATGTCCTCAGGAACCTGACTCCATCAACCGTGGCAGCTTCCCCACTGACTCTGTGGTGGACTCTGAGGTGTGCCACCAGATTCCTCTTCAGGAAAGGACTTGTCTCATCTGCTGGAAATGCTGTTAGCAGAAAACCTTCTACCGTCACCTCTTTTGGAGTCTGCATCCCCTTCCCCGTGCAGCCCAAATCCAGTGATTGATAGAGGCAGCAGTAGAAAGGCAAGGCCATTCCACCACAGTGCAGGACGGTGATGGACTGTTTTCAGTCCAGAGTACCCATAGGATCAGCTGAGGCTGACTACTACAAGCGTAGTATTTACCTTATACCATCAGAAGAAATTAAGGATGGATGATCAAGATGCTGAGGGCAGTCACCTCAATAAAATCTTATGGTCCCTTGCTCACTTTCTGGACCTGGAACCCAAGAACTGAAGAGCTGGCCGGGTCCCCTGCAAAACCATGGCAGGTATACACAGTATGAGCACCCAACCCTTCCGCAAAGGGACCAATGGCCATTTACTCAGATAACAGTACACTAGGGAAAGAGGACGATCCAGTCATTTCAAGGGTCAGAGTTGGAATTGAGATCTGGAGACCTGAAGTGTCATCATGGTCCTCCTGTTAGAGTGGGGTCATGGAGGAACCAGACATAAGTGGAGTCCTGGCCAAGGATCCATTGGGTCAGCAGACCTATCTGGGGCCACTTGCCTGGTCCCTGAATATGTAATTGGGACAGACATACTTGGAAGTTGGCACAATCCCCACCTTGGGTCCTTGGCCTGTGGGCTAAGAGCCATTGCAGTGGAGAAAGCCAAGTGGAAGCCTATGAAACTGCCCCTTCCTCAGCTAAGCAATATTGCATCCAGGGAGGATGGTGGAAATGAGGGCCACCCTTAAGGATCTAAAGGATGCAGTGGTGGTGGTCCTCATCCTGTCTCTGCTTCACCAGTTGAATCCTGGAAGATGGCAACAGACTACCATAAACTCAACCAAGAAGCCGTCCCAAGTGCAGCTGCCACAGCACTCGTGGTCTCCTTGCTAGGGCAGTATAAGAAGGCCTCAGGTACGCGTCACGTGGCCAGGTATTTGGGAAATACATTATTTTCTGTTCCAATCAGAAAAGAGGAGCAGAAACAGTTTGCATTCAGATGGGATTGTCAACAATATTCATTTATAGCTGTGCCCAGGACTATGTTAACTCCCCACCCTCTGTCACAGTGTAGTCCGAAGAGGCCTAGACTGTCTAGACATTCCAGAAAATATCACATTGCTGCATTACGTCGCGGTCACCTCTGTTTCACCAATGCCTTGTCTTCAGTTCACACCTATGGCCATATGGGGAATGCCACAGAAATAGCTGAAGAATGAGGTAAACACTGGAGCCTGGTGTTCGGATGGGTCAGTAGGTAGGTACAAGCTACAAATGGATGGCAGCTGCACCACAGCCTCACTCTGGCAGTGCATCTGGTCATCCCTTTTGTGTGGACAGAGCAGAAGCCTGAGCTCAGGGTACATACAGGCTCATGGGCAGTGTGAATGACCTGGCCCGGCTAGTCAGGGACCTGTTGGGAGAAAGACTGGAAGATGCAGGATAAGGAGGTCTGGGGAAGAGGCATGTGGATGGAGGGACCACAAAGTGTGAGGATTACTGTATCACATGTTATCAGCCAGCAGAGAACATCCAGAAGAGAAGAGGAATTAAGTGACTAAGTAGACAAAATGACTCTGTTAGTTGATGTTAGTCAGCCCACTGTCTTCCACCACCCCAGGGCTGGCACAGTGGGCCGGGAACCGAATAGCCATGGGGGCAGAGATGGAGGTTATGCAAGGGCAACAGTATGGAATTCCACTTACCAAAGTCCGTCTCGCTACTGCCACCAAACACCCTACCTCCCAGCAGAGATCCAGGCTGAGGCTCTGTTATGGCACCACTCCTCAAGGAGATCAGGCGGCCACGTGGTCGCAAGTTGGTGACGTCGGGCGCTCTCCACCCAGAGGGGCCAGCAGTTTGTTCTGAGAAGAATAGAACCACATTCCAGGGTGGGTTTGCCTTTCTGTCCAGAACCTCAGATAGCGCCATTATCCAATGCTTACAGAGTGTGAGATCCTCCCGCAAGGCGTTCCGCATAAAGTCACTTGAGACAGCAAAAGGGTGGGAGAGGGGGCCCAGACCCAAGGGAGTCACTGGCCACATCACACACCCCGTGCGCACAAACCGAAGGCAGAGATGCTCAGGATGGGAATTTATGCAGATGGGGAGCCATCCTCCAGGACTCTGACTACAACTTGAATCAAAGTGCTTTATATGGTGCGGCGTCCCCAGAAGGAAGACCACATAAGTCAGGGATCCAAGGGCTGGAAGCAGGAGAGACCCCACTTATCCTCCCTTCCAACCACCCATTTAGGCGAGTGTGCTTCCCAAACCTACACTTACAGACTGCAGGGTTAGAGGTCCTGCTTCCCACGGGAGGACACTTCCACCAGGGGCCACGCCACGGCAGGGGTCCCACTAACAATAGCTGTGTATGGCTGCCACTGGGCACTTTGAGCTGTTGTGTCCAAGCCCAGTAGGTTGAAAAGAAGTCACCATCCTGGCTGGTCAGAAGGAGATAAGGCTGTTGTCCCTGTGTGGGGCGGGAGGAAAATATCAGATGCCCAGGTGATCTCCTTGGGTGCCATTTGGTACTCCCTTACCCAACTGTGACAGTCAATGGACCAAACAGCAACTCTGGCCGAAGGGCAGGTCCTCCCCGGGAAGAAGTGTTGCCCAGCTTCTCAGAGAATGGGGCCCTCAAGTGTCACCCCTGTAGGGACTGCTCTGCTCCTGAGAGCTGCCCTGCCCAGAGGCCTGTCCTGGGGTGGCTCTCTGAAGGAGGCAGGGGAAGAAAGATGCGGCCCTTTGGGCCCAACACAGTCAACTCTGACCACCATTTGAGTTCTGTGGGGTCAACTGAGGTTTTTGGGGTTTGCATCTGCGTCGCAACTTCCCTTCTCCCTCTGCCCAATCCTGCTTCCTCTCTCTCCCTTGCATAGCCATGCATTCCAAGAGTACTCTCTAATAAATATCCACACTGGACTCTGAATTTGCTTTCTTGAGAACCCAGGGTGGGACAGGCACTTTCTGTGGCCTGTTCTCACCTCACTTTATGCATTTCCTGGGCCCTTTTGTCCTTGGCCATGACTGTGCTCATCACCTAATCTCTAAATATGAATCTACAGCCAGCCTTGCTCTTAGAGCCACATACATACGCAGCTGCCTACTGGCCATCGCTTCCTAACTGACCCCCACAGCACCCGGACCTTCGGCGTGCCCCCACCGGATCTCATCCTCTCTTCCAGCTTCTCACTCCTGCCCTTTCCTTTACTGTATCCCCTACATTGGTGAATGTACCACCACTCACTCAGTTTCCTAAACCGTAACTCAAGAATCTTCTCCATGCCTGCAAACAGTGCTGCCCGCGGGAGACTCCCACACCCCCTCCCGTCCTCCCCGCCTGCGCTGCTGGCCTGACGCAGACCTTGCCCTTCTCTGGCCTGGACTGCTGCTGTGGCATCCTGACTGGTCCCCCGCTTCTTGTTTCACTGGCCTCCCACTTGTCTTCCTCACTACCGCCAGAGAGAGCTATCAAATGACTAAGTCTGCTCATGTTTCTTCCTCTAATAGGAAAACCCTTCAATGATGCTTAGCCTGAACACCTGTGCAGACAGACAAGGCCCCTCCCCCAGCTGCTTCGTGCCTATCCCTTCCCTCACCTCTAGCTGTGAGCTCTGGTGAGCCGGAACTCCATGAGGCAGCCGGAACCCACTGGCTCCGTTGGCCCTGATCTCCATTGCATAGGGTGTCCCCTGCCTGGCCTGCCCCGGATTTACCTGCAGGAGAAACCATCCCTCTAGAAGTTAGCCCCAACGCCACCCCCAGGGGAAGCCTTCCCTGCCTCAGGCAGAAGGGCTGCAGCTTCTGCGGGCCCTTCATCCTTGCTCCCCCCACCTCCCCCCACAAAGAGCCGTCATTTTATGTAACGGCCTTTTTGCATGCCCATCCTCCTTCTCAGGCAGCTCTTTAAGGGCAGCTAGGGGCTCTTTCATCCTCAGTGCAGTGCACAGCGTTGGCTCTGCTCACGATAGGCATAAAACAAACAGGATTGAGTGAGTGAGTAAATGCTGGAAGCATAACAAAGAGCCTCCCAGGGCCTGGGCTGCAGGCCCGGCTCCACCAAGAACTAGCTCTGTGCCTCTATTCTAGGTCTGTGTCACCTCGGCTGTCAGTGAGAAGATTGGCTTAGATTACCTCTAAGGCGCCTTCCAGAGCTAATAGCCGGTGACGATCTGATAAGAAGGAGAAAGGTAACAAGATCCGCCGCCCGGTAAGCCCTAAGCAGGAGGGTGTAATTCTTCAGTTTACCACCAGGTGGCAGGTGGGAAGGAAGCGGGTTAGGTGCAGGGCTGCCTGCCTCCCAGACAGGGAGGGCCGGCCCGGGTTCCTGCTCTTCACCCGGGAGCTGTCAGAGGCTTTTCTCTAGCCTCTGCAGCTTTAGAACATTCCGATGCAACAGCAGATCCTGTTTCCCAGGTAGCCCACAAATGCAGAAGCAACGAGCCGCAGACCGCAAAAGAGGCCAGCCCACCGGCTGTCTGCTTGAAGAGCGGGCCCAGGGCTTGGGTGTTTTGACTCATCCCCACCGTCTTTCTGCCACGAGTTTGGGTAGTGAGCCTTTATCTGGTGTGAATTTCATGAGGGGCCAAGAATTACAGGCTTTTTTAGATGCTGGATAAGGAAAGTGCTCTGTGGGGAGGACACCTGTTACCTCGCCTCCAGGCGAGGAGAGGTGAGTCCTGGATTTGTGATGCGTACCGGCCATCTGAAGACGGAGCTGCCCCGGCGTGCCCAGTGTGCAATCGGCAGGCCTCCAGATCGTCCAGGATGTTTACAGCATCATGGAGTCTCTCCTGAGATCCTTGGGCCTTTGTCCAGGTCACCCCAAGCTCTGTGATATGCTGTGGCAGCTAATGTGCTGTTTGGGTTAGTCATAGGCCGGGTTATGCTTCGGTTACATTTCAACCCTGGAACAATGGCTTGATGCAACCACGTCTGTCTTTACCTCATGATGTGTGTCTAGCCTGGTATGGAAGGTGGAGGAGGCAGAGGTAGGAGGTGAGATGGAGGTTCTGCTCCATATAGTCCTCAGGGACCCAGACTGACACCTGGGGTCACAGCAGGAGAAGGAGGAGCTGCAGTGTTGGGTCTGGGCTTCTGATGCTCCGACCCAGAAGTGACACATCAAATCCTCTTGTAGCCCATTAGCCAGAAATAGTCACTCGTCACTGCCTACCTGCCGGGGGCGAAGCAGGGGGTTGTGTGCAAAACGTGGGGGTCAGACGGAATGTTTGATGAGCACCGCTGTCCCGGCCACAGTGACTATATGTGTGTGTGTATATATATATATGGTTTACATATATATATGGTTTACTGAGACTTACTGCATCTGCTGACCAGCTTTTGTCCGTATTCTCTGCTGAGGAGCCCCAGTGGCCGGGAGTGGAGAGGTGCAGCCCTAAACTGTGTTCACCACCCCAAGGAATTAAAGGCGGCCTCTAATCTGAAGACTATATGATAATTCACATTCTGCTCCAAATCTGTTCCTCCCACCAAACCCAACAGACTACCTACAACCGAGCCCATCAGGTCCCCTTCCTCTCCATTAGGACAGAGCCGCTGTCCGCTCCCACCTGCAGGCGCCCTCCACTCCTGCACTTGGGCCCTCGCCTCTCCCTTCTCACAGACAGTATGCACGCGACTGTCACCTCTCTCTCCTGCACTGCCGGTTTTCTCCTGTCTGCTAGACTCTTCTCATGGCAGACAGACGTGATCCTAGATAGTGTCTTTCTTTGTCTCCACAGTCTACCTTTGCATGTCTCTGCTTCCCTCCGCAGCAGAACTCAGGGAAAGGCTTCCTGTGGCTGTCTCCAGTTCCTCTTCTGCCCTTCTCTCCTGAACTCACTCCAATCGGCCGCCCTGCCCTTCCCTAAACTGCTTCTGCCAAGGTCACCAAGACCTCCAGCTATGGAAGTCTGGAGCGACGACTCAAGTGTCTTCCTCGCCCCAGGGCACCGCTGACTTCCTCCCAGCCCCACCTTCACAGGCTCCTCTGCTGGTTCTCGTCACAGTCCCAGCCTCCTCCATGGGACTGCCCCAGTATCCTTCTCTCCTCTAGCTGCTCTCCCTGGGGGGATGTCCCACAGCCCACGGCTTGTGTACCTTCCAAACAGTGATGACTCCCAAATGTGTGTCTCTGGCACCAACCTCCTTCCTGAGCTCCAACCTATGGAGTCAGCTGCCCACCCATCATCTCCACCTGAACTTGCGCTAGAAACCCCTCACTTAATACGCACAGCCTGCCTTTCCACCGTCTCCCTCCTCTCAGACAGCTGCATTCTCCAGGAGGTCGGGTCCAGAACCTTGGCATCTTCCTGGACCCCTCTCATCCTCTCACATCCCATTCATCGGCATTGGCTGGATCATCCCCTCCACAGGCGTCTCCATCTGGATGGGCACTGGCCTTCAACCAGTCTCCCTAAACTTTCTTGGTGCTAGAAGAATCATTCATCTTTGTACGAATTGCCCCGCTCAGTCCTCGAATGCCCCAAAAGGCTAGTATTCCCACACATCTACCTGCCCCCATCACCGCTTCTCCCACTCACCCTTCACAAGCGCAGAGGAAATATTTTTGCTGGCAGCAGCTGTCCCTTAGCATTTCTTAGCACACAAAAGAAAACCCCTGCCCGGTTTCTGACGTCATCAGGCTCTGGTACAAAAGGAAAATCAGATAATCCTATCAGTTTGCTCCAGAGGGGAAAAAAGCGGAAAGTGGATGGAAACAAGTTGAACCGCGTCACTGGTATTCACAGGCAGAATCTACTCTGGTGAGGTTTTCCTATGACTCTTTAATAAATGTCGGTAGGGCTATTTAACCAGGTAAGCTTCGGTGCAGCCCCGCCCCGCCCAGAAGACAGCTCGCGCGTGAGTCCGCTCAGCCTCTGCGACCAGACTGGGCAGGCCCGCCGAGGGCCACGCAGGAGGCCGACCCCTTCCCTCCACCCCAGACCCCACAGGAGCCTCGATTCAACCCCTCTTAGGGCCCGTCTGGCTCCTGCCTCCGGCTCTGGAGGCACAGGAGTGAAGAACAGAAGGTTCCTCCCCAGGCAGGCGAGGCGGGGAGCCGCCCTCGAGCTGCGGGAGGGGCGCGGACGCCGAGCCAGGAGTCGGGAAAGCAGAGCGGGAAAGGGGTTGCCACTGAGAAGCTGGCCCGCAGCCGCAGAGCTGGGGTTCGTGCTCCTCACTGGCCTCGCTTCCTTCAGCGGCTTTCCCACAGGCCGAGCTCTGAGCAGCGGGGTGTGACCTTGCCCTCCAGGCACACACGGCTTGTCGCAGGACCATGAACAATGGAGGGCAGGGCGCAGAGCCGGCGCGGGCTGAGCGCGGAGCGTGGGCCGGAGCTGAGGAGGCTGGGCGAGGCCGGCCTGGGAGCCAGGCGTCGAGGGGGCGACGGTCAGGCCGGAGGCAGAGGAGCAGGCCTGCCGGGCGCGCGGGAGGGGGCGCGCAGAGCGCGTGGCCGCGCGCGTCCTGGCGGGGTCAGCCGGGCGGGTGAGAGCCGGTCACCCCCTGAGACTCGTGCGTCCTCTTGGCCGAGCCCCACGCGTCCTGGGAGGTCGGCGCCCTGCCTCACATTCCCAAATGGGGAGATGAACGCTCAGAGGACCCACGAGGCCGGCGCGCGCACGGCCGCAGTGGCCCGGCGGGCCTCGGACCCAGCGCCCTCCCAGAGCCTCCTCTCCCTCCAGGCGCGGCGGAGGAGGCCGGGGAGCGCGGGGCTGGGGACGCCAGGCCGCGGAGCCCGGACCAAAGGGAACGCACGGGCCTCCAGACAAGGGCGAGACGTCCGACGCGGGCAAGGCGGAGCGCGCCTCGCCAGGGCCCTGCGGCTCCCCAGGGTCACGGACGCCCGTGGGACTTGTATTTCGTCCTCTCACTCTGGGTTTCTTACCCCGTACCTTGGAATTCACCACACAATCCCAATTTTTAATATTTCAACTAAGTGCAGGTCTTAATGTGATTTTATTTTGTGACTCATCGTGTTTTAGTTAAGCAAAAACACACACGTGGGGGGACCCTTTCCGTGGGTGGTGTGTCCCCTTTGGGTGGGGAAATGTGTGTTTGCACATCCGTGTGACTGTGTTGGGGGGTTACTTTGAGGCTCCGGAGCGCACGAAGGGTCCCTAAGGCACCATGAGACTCACCGAGAAAGCAAGGAAACTACTCTGCTGTCACAGGGAAGCCGGAATGTATGTCCCTGGGTCCAAACCAGTGCCGAGCGGAGGACCAGGTGTCTGCCGGGCGAGCTCCCTGATGCTCTGTGGGATCGGGGCCGGCCCCAGCACTGTGCCGCGACAGGCAGTCATGGAGGATGCGGGAACAAAGACCGCTTCTCTCCTCCTGCTGAAGCGGGTCATGTGACGCAGGAGCAGCTTCTTCGGCAGAGGCCCCGCGGGAGGGAGGGGTGGGGGCGGCGGCGGCGGCGCGTCCCTGTGCGGTTTCTGCCAAGATCGTCAAAGCCCTGAACCCGGGTCTGTGCCGGACGCTGCGTGAGTCACCGCCTGTCGCCGGCCCAGTCACTCCGCCCCTCGGAGCCTCCACACTGGGCCCTGAGTCCCCACGGACTCTAAACACCGTCTAGTCTGTAGAAGGTTCTGTTCATGGCACAAAGGACATCTCCTTTGCCGAAAATATGGCTGCCCTGGAGAGTCCGTGTCTGCGCTTGCTTTTTCTTCCTGGCGTTGAAAACTCGCGCAACTACCCAATAAACAAAGATGCAGCTCCAGAAAGCAGCTGTATTTCACGGAGAGCCAGGGAACAAGCCGCGGGACAAATGAAAAGACGCGGTGACAAATGTCCATTCATCGGCCCCTCAGCAAACATTGACCGAAGCCATCTGTGCTCCAGGCACTGCACCGAGGGCGGGGGACACAAAGATGCCCTTGAGAACAGACGGCTGCCTCCCTGGGCTGTCCACCCCCAGCTCCACACAGGCCCGCGCTGGAGGGGAGACGCGCACTCACACAAAGCAGCAGGTCCGCACTTCACGGCTCACAGCAACCTAAGGAACCGAGAATGCGTGGGAAGTGTGTGTGAATGTGCGGCAAGATGAATGACTCTCACAAAGAAGCGGGACACAAAAGGGTACATACTGTTGGATTCCATTTCTGTGAAGTCCCAGTGTGGCAGAACTAAGCCCTGGTGCTAGAGGTCAAGACAGCAGTTACTCTTCCGGGTGAGCGTGGGAAGGAGAACACCAAGGGGTTTCTGGAAGGCTGGTAGTGTTCACCAGGACATCCATTGAGCTGTACACCATACACCTATGATCTGAGCTGCTGCTTTTTTTTTTTTTTTATGGTGAGGAAGATTTGCCCTGAGCTAACATTTGTTGCCAATCTTCCTCCACTTTGTACGTGGGTGGCTGCCACAGCATGGCTGACAAATGGTGTATGTCCATGCCTGGGATCCGAACCCACAAACCCCAGGCCTCCAAAGAGGAATACACCAAACTTAACCACCTTGTCAGGGGGCCAGCCCCCTGAGCACTTTTTTGAATCTGTCCTTCAATAGCTTATGAATCTGTCTACGTGTGTCTAAGCACATACTTGTCTACTGGATCAGAGAGCAGGAGGCCTTTAGAAGCAGCTGGTCTATGTATTAGCTTTGCTCAGAACCATATCTAAATAATTCTGGCCCCTTCCGTGTTCACCCCAAACTTTAATAGATGTCCACCAAAAAGGTCTTCTTTATGGCTCATCTCAGTCAATAAAATGCAGCAGTCGAGCCCATTGACTGTCCTGATGGCATCGAGTTTACACAGAAGGCCACCCACTTCGGAAGGTGAGTTCCCAAGCAGTTTTTCGCTTATTCGTGCATGGGGTTATCCTACAAACAATTACTGAGCGCCTACCGTGTGCCAGGCACCAGGGATATCAAAAAATGAAGAGGACAATCTCTTTTTGTGGAAGAAATGGACAAGCAAATAACTACAATGCAGCACAGCTAGTGCTGGGCTAAAAATAACCTGTGACTCAGGAGGCTCACGGAGCAGAGATGGGCTATTAGGTGAGCTTCCTGGAGGAGGCAAGAGCGGAGCGGAATGGGAGGATGGGAGGCGTCAGGTGGATGAGGTGGGAGGCCTGGTCAGGGCATCGAGAGCACAGGCATCATGGGGACAGGTGGGGGACTCAGGGTGACCAGAAGGTGGGGGCAATACCGAGAGCAAAGGCAGGCCACAGGTCGGAGGGCTTAGGAGGCTGTTACTTGAACAGGGAGAGATGGTGAGCTGAGAAAGGGCAGTGAATGGAAGAAAAGGGCAGAACTAAATTCAGCAAAAGGCTCCCAGTCCGTCTGATCCTGGGAAAAGCCCTCAGCTGCACGTCTGCCTACCTGCTTAGAAGTGCGACCCCAACCTACGAGGGAGGGCTTCTGACCCTGCCACAGCGGGGATGAACCTTGAGCACATGGTGCTCAGTGAAGTAAGCCAGTCACCCGAGGACAATCCTAGATGGTTCCACTTACATGAAGTCTCCAGAGCAGTCAAATTCAAAGAGACAGAAAGGAGAATGGAGCGTTCCAGGGGCTGGGGGAGGAATGGGTTCCTTAATGGGGACAGAGTTCCAGTTTTGCAAGATGGGAAGGGTTCTGTGGCTGGATGGTGGTGATGACCCCACAGTGCTGAGTGAGTGTGCTTAATGCCATTGGACTGTACCCTTGGGAATGGTTAAGATGGTGAATTTTACGTTCTGTGTGTTTTACCATAATTAAAAATAAAATAATAAAAGAGAAAAGTGACCTCGCCTTGGAAGCTCAGTCACCCTGTGGATGTGTGTCACCAAGTCCCCTCACCCTCGGGGGCTTCTGTGTGCTCCGCTGCCCGAACTGTAACAGATCCTCTGCTGAGAACCAGAGCCAGGCACAGACCGTTGTTGGCTCTACACCGACCCGATTTTACAGTTCTCCTACCTTCTGAATCCACCACCTTTCCAGGGGTCAGGAGCCCACTTTCCGGACACGTCTCTCTTGGAGCTGCTGCTAAGAGCCCCGATGCTCAGCTTCTCAGTACAGGAAGAACCACTGTTGAGTGATTGCCCACTACGTGCCACGCACCCTCCCCGCCCTTGCTCTCCTCCTCATAGCAACCCCATGAGGGAGGCGCTGTTGTCGCAACATCAGGCTGAGGGGGCCAAGGGTCACACGGGTGAGTAACCCGCCCACCGGCCCACAGCAGCCGGGCCGGGCTGAGGAGCCAGTCTGTGCTCTTCCCACTTTCACCACATCATCCCCTGTGCTCCCTTTCCTGTCAACAGCATTGAAATGCAGATTCCTGTTCTCAGTTCTGACTCCTAGATTTTTTTTCCTAACCATTTTGGCACATAATCACGTGATCTCCCATCCTATAACAGTGACAATAATAGTTACCCATCAGTGGGCACCCACTGTGGTTGGGAACCGCACCATGAGCTTTGAGTACTCACATTAACATCACGGGGACAAATTAATGTTCCTTAGTTTCAGTATTTAATTCACTATTTGATTCCAAACCTGATGCTCTTCCCACTCCCATTATTTTGCTTCTTTTGTGCAATCTGGGCTTCCCTGAGGAGTGTGTCTAGGGCTCCCTCCAGGTTGGAGAAGATGTAACAACATGCCTAGCTATGTCACATCCTCCTTGGACCTACTGCTTCTCTTACATCCCTCCTACAGGGCCCGGTTTCTGGTCCAACAACCACAATATGAACAGCAGTGAACATCTCTGCCTGGAATACACGCCCCGGTGCGCCTGCTGATGGGCTGAGGGGAAAGCTCCAGCCCTCCAGACGCGGCCCATTCCTGGACCAAAGCCCATCTGAGGCTGCAGAACGAGCAGGCTGCTGCCCGCATCCCGCCCTCGGCCCAGCCCTCCTGCACAAAGGTCGCTCAGGCCGGGCTCAGGGCGGAGTACAGGGCTCACTGTGCGGGCCTGCAAAATGTCTTGGCAGGATCTTTAAACTCTAATAGCTGTTAAAGGCATGAGCTCAATGAGCCAGAAAAAGGAAAACCCTTCCTGGTGGTTATAGGGCTCCCTACCCCACAGCATCCCAGCCTCAGTGGACTCTGAACCTCCAGCCTGCAGAGTGGGGCCAAGTGGAATCTGCACTTGAGGCCCAGAGAGATTTGCTCTCTCTCTTTGGTGGCTGGGCTGTAGCAACATGGGCTTCCAAGTGAGTCTGCAGACGGGCGACCTGGAGGCCTCCCAGGGGGTCGGAGTCATGAACGCTCCCAGGGATTTGTCTGTGGATCTGAAACTGACACATGCGCCCTTGTCTGTAAGTGTCCTGCCGGAGGATGCCCTGCGCTCCGAGCGCTCACCTTTCCCGGCTGCGCTTTCCTGTCTCCTGTCCCCTCCTCTACAGGTGAAGAGCAGAGCTCCCTCCCTGTCGGGAATCTTACCAGGTGGCCTTGATCCAGGAGAGAAAACTCTCTGGCACCAAACAAGGGACAATTCAAGAGTAAATTGCTCCTGAGTCCCAGGAGAGCCAAGCGGAGAGAGACAGAGCGTAGTGAGTGCTGGGGAGGAAGCATCACCTGACCCCAGCCAGGAGTCAGACTCGGATGTCTCCACACCTCAACAGGCCCTCTCTCCTGGAGTGAGAACACACCTTGTGTGGCAGGAAGAACTTGGGGTTTGACCAGGACAGGAGTCTGAAAGTATCATAAAGAAGTGCTGGCTGTTGGGGTTACAGGAAAAAGTACACAGACCAGATGGAACAGAAAAGCACAGCAGGCAGGGAGACTGGGCGGAGCCGTGGTGAAGTCCCTTATGAACAAGGGCTTGCATTGCATTATGTGTAGAAACATGGTAGGGACAATGGTGTTAGGTTCTACATTTACTTCTGATGGCAACAGAGCTTAAGGCAACAATTTATTAAAAGAAAAGACAGTGTAAACATTTCACGCACGTAAGATTCGACAGGCATTTGCATTGCACACAACAGGCCTGGGGCCAAGCAGAACTGAAGCCTGCCGCGCATAGTTTGCTTGTCAACGTGCACACACACGTGCAGTAAGACTGCGGGTTTGGAGACACAGCGTCCCTACCCTCACTGCAGTAGCAGCCTCTCGATAACTGGAGGCTGACCCTGTGGGAAGCAAAGGAAAAGTAAAGTTCCTTGACACTAAGTGAGCAGTTTTTTAGTCTGATCCGTGTACCACTTGTGCAGGCAAAGTGTATGAAAGAGTACAGAATCTTAAGAAAGTCAAGGGCCAGGATGCCACTACACAGGCTCTATCGATCCAGCTTTGAGGTGTTACCTCCATGGCTGTAATGACACCCTGGGTCCCACAGTGCCAACCTTAGAAGAGTTCAAAGCACAAGGCGGCGTTATCTCATCTCAAGATGGCGCGTTATTAGTCTTATTATTCCCGTCTACAGATGAAGGATGCACCGCAGGGACGGGTCGGGTGTCTGCTCCAAGCTCTCACAGCTGGCCA